TATGGAGACTTTATGAAGAGATTATCATCACATACAATACATCATATTACTGAACATTATTGGGATGATGGTCACTAAGATCGAGTTCCATCAGAACACTTCTTTCGTGCTTACATATTTGAATGAGCTATACCCATATCTCGTGTCTCATACTTAGGACTCAAAGCCTTTGATCAAATCACATCTCTATGTGTATCACTATATTAAGTAGTTGGTACTCTTAGCACAAGGAGGCACATGGTATTCATAAACATGCTCTTTCAAATTTGTTAGCACATATCACTCAATGTCCATATACTCCATACATATTCATAAAACAATTAACCAAAATATATAACCATAGTATATAAAAAGTTACTGAATCATCTTTTTCTATATGACCTTACCATGTAATATGAGACAGATTTCATACCTCAAAACCATATAGTGTTGTACTTAGGCTTTATTGATTAATTGCTTTTACAATCGTTTGGCGATGTTGGAAGAGAACACAATTGATGGAGAATATATTGATCTTCGATATCACATGTTAGGATGTATCCATCTCTTCGGTACTAGAACTCTTCCTTGTATCATACTGTGAAGAAAAACGACTTCTTCATCCCATCATTTCAAATATCATAAATTTGATTATCTCACTGATATTTAGTTTTTCTTTTCTACCACCAAGTCTCTTTATGTATCCCTTCATTTTGAAGAAACCAATATGCTTTTATAGGTATTGTGTTTCTTCTTCTTTTTGCTATTATTAGATCGAACATTCTTCATATAGAGTGTCATTCCTTACCAACTCTGTATTACTTCTCTCTAAAGTTTTCATTATAATAAACCATATGTATAGTACACTATAAAACCCTTTTTAAATGAGCCCTAAAAAGTTTCAATTACTAGGAATCTAAAGATGTGCATTAACATGCCATATCTTTTAATTTACTGCATAATAGAATTTGAGCATCCTATGATAAAAATATGATATCTCTCAACTCATAAAGAGTTTCTCTCCAAATCCTTTTAAGTACTGCAATAGACTAAAAAATATACAATAGCTTTCACTTCCATCCCTAAATCGCACCATTTACTGAGTCTACCCATTAGTGACTTTTTACATCACAAGACAATTTTCTCAGCAGAAAATCAGGCTAAGCATCTCTCAATAAAAATTGTTTCTCTCAAACCTCAAAGAATTTCTTCCTGAAATCTCTTGTATTGAAAACTAGACTCAAAACCAAATCATAACATCATGGTGTGCATCCCAAATAATAATTTACTTCAGAGAAATAATTAAGTTGACATACATATCATAAAATAACTCACAGTGCAGAATTCCAAGATGAATACTGTCTTGTAAAATTGTATTTTCTCTTTATCCTTGTGGAGTTTTCCTTTCAAACTAATTTTGTTTAAAAGTAGATACATAATGGTAGGACATATATTTTCACAAGCCTCATATCACTCTGTTAAGTAGGCTTGATAATTATAGTTTTTCAAGTCTCATTGAAGAGTACACCATAATTATAGAAAATTCAGGGTGACCTCTCTTCAATCCAAAATTTTTATTCCTATTTTATCGAAGATATTTATCTTTCAAATAAATTTTATTGAAAACTAGGCTCATAATTGAAGTTTAAAAACTTAGTGTGAGTCATAAAACATTCTCTTAAGAATATAAATAAAATCTTAACTTCCAATTCATGGAAATAATTTTTGTTGCAGAAAACAACATTTGCGCACCCTTCAATAAATTGATCATATCTTTCACACCATAAGGAATTTCTTGATGAAATATTTTTTTTTTAAAGTAGACTCAATTTTAAGAGTCATAGTAAAATTTCAACAATAAATAAGTTCTTATAATTGGTGGGAAAAATCATGGAACTCAATGGATAGTTCCTGGAGTTTGCAGGGTCAAAACTAGCACCCTTCAATCATGAGTCCATAACTCTCAATTCCCTTAAGATCTCCCGCTAAGATTATGTAGGTAGATCCTACTCTCAAAGAAACAAAATCACTGAAGTATGCAGTAGAAAAATACTTCATTGTCCTCTTCATATAACTGCTCCAAAATAGCACAAAATACTCAATCTGCAGAGGTCTTTCTCGATTTGTTGAATATTTCAATAATTCTTAACCGGGTATATTACTTGACCACAAAGATTATTAGCTTTCTCATATCTCATTCACAAGATTAATATTGACTCAATAAAGAGAAAACACATTTAATGGCATCAAATATCAACCTCGCTCTGATACTAATGAAAGTTCGATCAGTGTGATCTTTCCGGGGATTTCTTTATTTTCTCACTCGTTTTCTTTTCATTTGTTTGGCAAAGATCACTTGTAAGTAGTCTTATTACAATAACTCTTGCTTCAAATAAAATAAAAATTTACGAATCTAGGATCATAATAGCTTTGATGCCATCAATCCAATTTTTTTTAATCAAAGAAAATTACTACAAATCTTGCGCATGCGAATATAAAAATTATATAATTAAATATGCCAGAAAGAAGAATGCCGGAGATTATCTCAACCGGGCTTATTACAAGCCACACCGAGTCAACACCATTCGATAGCGCGAGATCGACGGTATTCGTTCAATCTCAACCGGAAAAGCTATTTTCGGCCAAGCTCTTCAATGAAAGCTCTTCAATGCTCATACAAGACTCTTTAGGATCAATCACCAAAATATTGGACAAAAAATTATCCCTCTCTATTTTTCTTGAGCCCTAGATCTTTTAATAAAATTGGGAGCTTTGAGAATTTTCTTTTTCTAATTTTGGAGAGAGACGTGCCCTTTTTTTTTATAGAGGTCAAAAGAAGAGAGAGAGAGGATGGGGCGTGTCCCTCTTTAGGGGATAAAGATGAGAGGGAGAGAGAGTGGATAAGTGGGAGAGAGAAGAGAGAGGTGAGGGGCATGCCTCCCCTTTAAAATAGGATTAGGGAGGAAAGAGGGGCGTTCCCCGTTTAAGTAGGTAAGGAAAGAAAAGAGGCGTGTGCCCCCTTTAAAAAAGGTAGGGTGAAAAGATGGGTGAGAGATCTGAGATTTTATTTAAATATCTTAAAGATAAAACACTTTATGAACTTAAATCAATTTGGGATGAAGCAAATCAACAAATCCCATAAAAATAGGGGCGTCCCACCGATGGGGATAGGCCTTCCTCTAAAAGTGGCGTGTCACGTTCTAGAATATAGTGGCCCATGTGCACAATGGGCTCCCATAAAATTTCATATATTAAAAATAATAAAAATAAATTTTAAAATATTATTTGAACATTTTAAATTATTAAAAATTAATATATTTATTTGTATAGACCCGAATTTTATAAATAAAATATCCAGGGAATTTATAAAAATTCAAATAATAATTCTAAAACAATATATACCATAAAAAGAAGCACAGCAAAATTAATCTGATGGGAAAATGATCCATATGGTCAAAGAATTAAATAAAAAAACATGAGGCACTTCACCTTCAACTGTGGATTACAGACCACGCTTGCTTTATCATGCTGACCCAGCATTGCCCATGACCCACAGTTCAAGTAAGGGCTCATTAGCAGGTCACCAATGTCTGGCCGATGTACCAAGGGGCCGCAATCCCAATCTGTGGATTTGAGGTTCTCCCCTAGAGACGAGTCATGGTCACCTAAGCGTGATGCGACCACAGCTCTATGACACATGGGTATCTCTCTCACATGCATATGCTTCACCCTAAAAGGTGGCTTGCTCGCTTTTCCGAACTATCTATCAATATGCATGCCATGTGATGGTACATGGATGAGGTTTTGGCTCCCGTCTCCGTAGGCCACCATCACACACAAGAGTCACACAGTCCTTCGACTCATTGATCCGGGCATATACTCCGACTTCATCAAGGGATGACCCATCAGAACCCTTCTCGGTTTATTCTCTCTGCCCCGGTAACATGGGTTTTTTCTAACCGACTGGCCTAGACCGTCAAGCACAGTCCAGTATTTGCAAATATCGTTTGCATGGTATGGTCCATGAGGGACCACACTCCCACTGAGTCCATGATCCACTATATCAAATGTCTCATCACAATCACTCATAAGCCGTTTAAAGGTCACTTAAACCCAACAAAAACGATGAGATTACAGCTACAAACTTGGGGTTCTAAAATGTAATAAGCTAGCCGAGCGGGTGAATGATTAGTATGCGCCTACGAAAAACGTAATATGTTTGGCTGCTCTCAAAGGTTGATAGATGTATAAGTTTTAACCCGTAAGGGTTCCTGTCGGTATAGTAGGTTTAACGTGGACCCACACCTGGCCTGAAACCAAGTAGGGTCCAAGTCATTTGGACATGGACCTAGGTTGGGTCCAAACCATATTGACCTAGACCCAACCTGGACTTAGGTCTAGAAATAAAATAATAATAAAACAAAAATTATCTTATTTATTGTGTAGTTTACGTATTTAATATGATTTATACTGGTCGGATTGAGCGCGACCTGACCCAATAGGGTAATTGGATTCAAGTCCTTTGGACTTCAATCCAATCCATCGGATCCAACATATGGACCTAGACCATACCCGTTTCAGGCCAAGCCCCACCCAATTGCCACCCCCATTAACCTAATAGCTCTGTGATCCGTCGGCAGGCCGACCGAACCCATTGCCGCCTCAAAAATAACCCAATAGCTGTGTGATCTCATGATCAAACATGTGGAACCTACAACCTGCTCATTGTGCCATGGTTAGTGTCTCATTGAAAGGTTGGTGACACGAGACACCACGAAATTTCCGTCATCTAGTTTTAGTTTTAGAGAAGAATCCACCTCACCACTTAAACAACAAAAAGAAACACAAGAAGTCCCTCTTGTCGCCGCCCAGTTTGACTGATTCACAGTGCCCAAATACGTAAAACCCTAAAACTCCATTGTCAAATGTCTCTTTGAATGTAATTTCCTGGTCCTACTTTTTGTATAAGTGGGTAGGATGTCATTTTTTACCGCAACTTGGAGCTTTTTAAAAGGCAAATATGAAGTAGATCATATGAAATCCCACACCCACATGCCTTCACAACAAGCCCAGCAAACCTCCATGGATTACCTCCTTCTTCTTCAGCCCATCCTCGCAATCTTCTTCGCTCTCTTCCTTCACCAGATATGGCTCAAAATCAAGAAAAGTAAGAATACATATGCCAAGGAAGCACCTGAACCAGGCCGAGCTATTCCAGTGATTGGCCACCTCCACCTCCTCTCGGGCAGCAAGCTCCTGCACCACAAGCTGGCTGAGATGGCCGATGTGTACGGACCTGCCTTCACACTCAGACTAGGCCGGCGTCGTACGCTGGTGATTAGCAACTGGGAACTGGCCAAGGAATGCTTCACCACCAACGACAAGAACTTCGCAAACCGCCCCCGCGACTCTGCAGCAAAACTGTTGGGTTACGACTTGGCTATGATCGGTTTTGCCCCTTATGGTCCATACTGGAGAGAAACTCGAAGAATTGCGACTCTACAACTCCTCTCTAATCGTCGACTTGAATCCCTCAAACATGTTCGATCCTCTGAGGTGGACGCCAGCATAAGGGAAATATATGAGCTTTGGAAAGAGAAGGAGCGGAGGGCAGTGGAAGTGAACATTCAGCAAAAGCTGCTCGATCTGACTTTCTCCACAGTGGTGAGAATGGTCGCGGGGAAAAGATTTCTGAGGGATGGAGAGGATAACGAAGAGGGGAAACGATTCAGAGAGTTGATAGAGGAGCAATTCTATCTGGCTGGGACATCAGTTGTGTCCGATGCCGTCCCTATCCTTGAGTGGGTTGATTTTCAAGGAACTTTGAAATCAATGAGACGTGTTGCTAAAGAGGTTGGTGAGATAGTGGAGGGCTGGGTCTCTGAGCATCGCAGGAAAAGAGCAACTGGTGAGACTGAGGCAGCACAGGACTTCATAGATGTCCTGTTGTCCCTTGTGGAGGATGGGAGCTACTCTTCATCCATCGATCCAGCCATTTTCATCAAGGCCAACGTCGTGGTAAGCTAACCATATTTCCTTGTCGAGATTTATGCTTGTGTGTGTGCTGAGGGTCTTTAACCTACTTGATTAATCGATATAATCGGGCACCATATGATTTCAAAATTTTGTCTAATGATTTTTTTTTTGGTTTATTATGGCAATTTAGTCTATTATGTTTTGCTCTTTTGGAGTTTTTTATTGTTTCAATTTGAACCATAATTGTTATCCCGCATTGCCGGGATGGTGTAGAGTTGAGCAGTGTGCCGGGCGAGGCCGAGTTTTCCCTAGTTGTATTTCCAACTTGGGGAGATAAAGACGAGGACACGGATTCTATGCGGCCAGCCCGCAGACTGTAGAAATAAGGGGTTGGCAATAAATATATTGTTTAAATATAAGTTAGACTTAAGTTTTCGAGAATATATAATCTTTAGCATGGAGATCATGAATATGACAAAAAAATAAAAAATTGAAAATTATAAATAATAGTTATATTAAAAAAATATTTAAACCGTTAGTTACAATTATTTTTAGAAGGACTACCTATTTGCATCCATCTTTGAATGGACACTTTATACCTCGGGATGTAGAAATGCAATCCAGCCTGCATGCAACAATTTTTGTAAAAACAATTCAAAAGAATTGTAAAAATGTGAGATTTCTCAACAATATTTTATGTGATTTAGATGTTTTTGTCGTTGAGGTTTTTCCATAATCCCTACTTTCATAATTTCCACTTTTTAGATTTTGTTTTTTTTAACATCCCAAATTATAAATTAGTGTTTTAATTTATTTTACTCTAATTTTTAAGCCTATTTTAAATCTTTAAAGTTGTTTTTTTTTTTATTTACAAAAGCTTTTTTTTTCTTTTTCAAATTTCTTTTATTCTTTCCCTAGTTTATTTAGGTATTTTTATTGTATGACTAGGAGGCGGATGAGTAAGTCACCTTTTTTTCAAAGATAACTGAATAATTTTTTAGGATCCTAATTATAATTTAATTTAAAATTAATTTATAACGAAAGAAAGGTTAAATCCGTCAACAGCATACTCAAGATGAGGTGCAATTTTTAAATAGAACCAAATTGGAATTTGGCTTTGAATGCTGGAAAGCAATGCTGCTTTAACAAGTTCAAATAAATACCATCGTGGTGTTCAAGAATTTAATGCCACATGCTACCATTCATTAAAATCGCGTCATTGAAATCGATTTGTACAATTAAGAATTAAGCGCGACTTTGAATGATACAATCAAATTCCTTGTGAATGGAGTTTTGTCCCTCATAGGTTAGTTTAATGGAGCCGACTCAAACTAATTGACAAAAGACTAAAATGATGATGATGATAGGTTAGTTTCGTCGTCTTGACGATTGTTGCAATTCCTCCCTCTTTAACTTCATAATCATGAATCTGAAAAACTAGATTTCTAAGCCTTAAAAATAATCCCCCGTTGACTTACCTAACAAAATCCTTAATATAATAATCCACCAGACAATGTTTTTTTTGGATCATCAAATTCAAGTCTTCGCATATGTTGCAGAATCTAAACGATTTCTAGAAGTTTGACTTGTAAATAAACGGATTTGCAAGCCATCTCGAGATAATCTACAAAGGACCTCAATCAAATTTCAAAAAATCACCCCATTACACAAATCTTCCTAATTCAAAATTGGTGCTGCATGTATCAATCTATTCTCCTTTTGGCTTCTTCTCATTTTTTGTACGTTTTTTTATTTTTATCTCGTAGAACTTAGTAGCAGCTGCAACAGACACGACGGCAATTACAATGACATGGGCACTCTCTCTCCTCCTCAACAATCGCCACGCATTAAGGAGGGCCCAAGCTGAGCTGGACCTCCACGTAGGCAAGGACCGAAACGTGGACGAATCAGATGTCAAGAACCTCACCTTCCTCGACGCCATAGTTAAAGAAACTCTACGACTCTACCCGGCGGGCCCACTCCTGGTCCCGCATGAAGCTATCCAAGATTGCCATGTGGGAGGATTTAATGTATATGCCGGGACCCGACTCGTGGTCAACGCATGGAAATTACAAAGGGATCCACGTGTATGGTCTGATCCCGAACGTTTCGATCCGGATCGGTTCTTAACGAGCCATGTGGACATAGACGTATGGGGAAAAAATTACGAGTTTATACCCTTTGGGTCAGGGCGTAGGTCTTGCCCTGGAATTTCTTTTGCTTTGCACCTGTTGAGTCTAACTCTTGCACGTTTCCTACACGCTTTTGAATGGGATACACCTTTCGGTGAATGTGTTGATATGACGGAAGGGTTTGGCCTCACTCTTGCCAAAGCTACTCCACTTCGTGTTGTATTGACTCCTCGTCTACCTTCTCATCTCTATCAATAAAATGACAGAGATGGAGGTCTGCTTTTCTTATTGATGAGCTCATTTTGAAGCCATTCAAGACTGCCACGTTGGAGGATTTAATGTCGATGGTGGGACCCGTCTACTTGTCAATGCGTGGAAGTTACAGAGGGATCCACGTGTATGGTCAGATCCAGAACGTTTCGATCCGAATCGATTCTTAACGAGCCATGTGGGCATAGATATATGGGGAAACAATTACGAGTTTATACCCTTTGGGTCAGGGCGTAGGTCTTGCCCTGGAATTTCTTTTGCTTGGCACGTGTTGAGTCTCACTCTTGCACGTTTATTACACGCTTTTGAATGGGAGACACCTTTCGGTGAATGTGTTGATATGAGAGAAGGGTTTGGCCTCAATCTTGCCAAAGCTACTCCACTTCGTGTTTTATTAACTCCTCGTCTGCCTTCTCATCTCTATGAGTAAAAACGAGAGAGAGAACGAGGTTTACTTTTGTTTTTGATGAGCATGTATCTTAGTATGTGGAGTAGGGTAGATGGGTTTGTAGTCATGATCTTGTATCTCTTTTTATGGACTATGTTCGACGGTTTAGAATGTTGCATGCTATATCATATTTTTAGGGGTGGCAATAGTTCGGGTCCAGGTTTTGGTTCGGACCCCACCCTGTTGGGTCCAAAAGTTGGACCATATACGTACCCATCAGGTCTTGGGTCTGATCGGATCCATTGCCACTTTCATTATGAGCTTTCTTTTTTGTAGCCTACAATTGTGAGCAACAATGAACTAATTTTTTTAGGGGTAGGCTATTAGAGAGAGAGACATTTGAGATCTAACGAGAGAGCTATTTCTCCAAAAAACTGAGAAGGGCGAATTGCATAGAGGGAGGATGGCGATGGGGTTTGGTCGTTTGGGGGACTATGGGAAGACGAAAAGTATTGAAACAATTTTAGGGTAGGGAGTTTGGCCTTTGGGTAAACTAAAAATTCAAGTCCAGGTACCCATTGGGTCGGGTATAGAAGGACATGTACCCGGACCTGGTACTATCCGGGTATCCTTTTTTGGACACGGATCCAAAACTTGGACCCATACCCAAATCCAAGTCGGGTATATCCGGCAGGTGTGGATTGGGTCAGGGTTGATTGCCATCCCGGCCTTTCTTTAACTCTTTTGTTGTTAACTAGACTAGTACTGCAACACATGATATTTAGTACTAATCACCGAAATATATTTATCATAGAAAAATATTTTTCAATAAAACATGGTCTTAGAAGGAGTTAATTCAATAAATTTCTCTTCACAATGATTATAATATAATAATTATAATTAATGTTTAAAATTATTACAGGAAGTTAAAATAATTTCAAAATTTTATCATTTTATTCATAAGTTTATATAATTTCCATTCTCAAGTCTGATGCATATTAAACAATATTGGTTAAATTTTAATAATCAACTAATAATACTATATAATTATTATCATTTTAATAATGAAATATAAGGTTGCAACCTTAAAATTTAAAATTGAAGGTGCACCTCAAAAATCCATCATAAAAGGTCTATATGTATGAATATCAAAAAAATAAATAAAAAAGATTTCAAGTCCCTAAAAAATGTATCTTGCAACACATTATCTAGATCATTCATTTTCAAGAGTTTCTTATATTTATAGATCTACTTTTTTTGAACCATTTTTAAAGTTTGAAATTTTTCAATTAGAGATAAAAATAGATTCTCAAGTCATTTTAAGAATTTTTTATATCAAATTTACAACAAAATTTAGAGATACACTTTAATTGGATTGTTTAAGGTTGCAACATTATGCATACCACACGAATAGACAATCTTTTTTTCGCGTGGTACTGCCATGTTTATAGCGCCATCTGTTGCGGCTCCGTTTGAAAAACCACCATAAACATAACTTGTTCGTGACGAGGTGAAACACTGTTCAAAATCGTCTACAAACGTTTTTAAGACTTTTCTATGCACACATATATATCAGATTCTCTCTTCTCCTAAAGTATCTCTCACATCCATCTCCACTACATGTCTGTCCTCCTAACTTATTTCTATCCTCCTAACGTATCTCTCACATCCATCTCCACTACATGTCTGTCCTCCTAACTTATCTCTCTCATCCATCTCCACTGCATGTCTTTTCATTTTCATCTTCCTCTCCCTCTAATAATCTCTTTCTCTCATATGCATGTATGTTAAGTTCTTAATTAATATAACGTACATATTAATTGTGTTCTTAATATAAAAGCTACTTACCTTTAAAAGTTATTTTCTTATATTATAAGAATTTAACAATAAAAAAATATCAAATAATATGGTGCCGTAGTCTCTAGCCGTAGACGAAGCTGAGCTCAAGTTCTTCTTATATACAATACCAAGAATGTAAATTCAGCAACAAGGTAAACAGACTAGTGACCTATGAATGAAACTGCCCGTGGTTTGGCGCGGAACATATAGGGGCCGGGGAGCGATCGACCCAAGCGAACTATTTAGGGAGGGTCTTGTAAGAAGTGTTCGAAGAGTTTGGCCAGCCTGGCGAATCCGCGCTGGTTGGCGCACAAACTTCTTGCTGATTGGGCTTGAGCTTGTCAAAACAAAGTACACGAGTGTAAACTGCTTAATTTAGCCAGCGGAGTAGCTAACGTTCTTGCGCAGCAGCAAGCCTAACCTCCGGTTCGAGGCTTGCTCAGCAAGCGGTAAGTGAAAGCTCTTTGCTGCTAAGCGATAGATAATGTGAGATCTTTAATCAAAACTTCTCTATCCAAATTGGGATTTTGTTTATTTAATATAGCTCTATTATTAAAATGATGATAATTATATAGTATTATTAGTTAATTATTGAAATTTTAATCAAGTGCTAATTAATATGCACCAAATTTAATAATGACAATAAGATGAATTTATGAATAAAATGATGAAATTCTGTTATTATTATAACTTCTTATAATTATTTAGTGTAATAATCATAATTATTATAGGATTTTGCTACGCTACACCACGTTTGGTGTGAACACATATCCGGCACAACAAAAAGTTGACCAAAATATACACAAGGCCCAATATTTTAAGTATTGTTTGTAAGGGCATTTCAGTCCTTCACTACCATTAAAATAAATTGATGAAAACTTCTAAATCCAAAGGTCAACCACTTGATTTCAAATCTAACAGTCATCGACGATTGTGATCTCTTTATAATAAAAGTAAATGGTCTTATTGTATACATTTCTATAAATAAAAAGAATTATTTTATTTATTATATAGTATACAAATTTAATATGGTTTATACCAATAGGATCGAGCCCAACTCAAACCCGACCTAACCTGACCCATTAGGGTGACGTGATTCAAGTCATTTGGATTTGAATTGGACCTATCAAATCCAACACATGGACCTGGACCAGACCCGTTTTGGGCCTAGTCCCACTTGATTGCCACCCCTCATCAACCGAATAGCTTTGTGATCTGTCGGCGGTTCAACCCGAACCCATTGCCACCCCTATTAACCCAATAGCTCTATGGTTCCATCATCAAACATGTTGAACTTAAAACGTGCTCATTGGCTGCATTATTCCCTTGGTTAGAAGAAGAAAGTGTGCCATTATTTAGATTTGCCAATGATTAACCTTTTATTCCATGATGCCTGTATTATTCCCTTGGTGACAGGAGATGCACCCAAATTTCTCATCTATCTTAGTCGAGAATCCACTCAAGCTCTTAACTTCTGTCCCAAAAGAAATCCCTCATTTCGCCGCCCAGCAACTTATTCAAAGGGCCCAAATGTGAATAAAACTCTATTCCCAAATGGCTCTTTCCATCTAACTTCCTTGTACCTGCTTTTGTTTAAGTGCGGTAGAAATTTATCTTTCACAAGAACTTCGAGCCTTTTAAAAGGCAAAACTGAAATATAGGTTATGAAATCCCTCACCCACTGGCCTTCACAACAAGCCCTGCAAGCCTCCATGAATTACCACCTTCTTCTTCAACCCATCCTTGCAATCTTCTTTGTCCTCTTCTTTCACCACCTATGGCTGAAAATGAAGAAAAAAAAGAATAAATATTCCAAGCACCAGAACTCGGCGGAGGTCTTCCAGTGATCGGCCACCTCCATCTACTCTCCGACAATAAGCTCCTGTACCACAAACTGACCGAGATGGCCGATGTGTACAAACCCGCCTTCACACTCAGACTAGGTCGGCGTCGTATGCTGGTGATTAGTAATTGGGAATTGGCCAAGGAATGCCGCACAAAGAATGAGGAGAACTTCGCCAACCACCCCCTCGACGGTGCGGCAAAATTGTTGAGTTTCGATTGTGCTACGATGGACTTCACCCCATACGGCCATGTTTAGGCTTAGATCTGCACCAATCCTTGTGATGAGATTTGCTCAAATCTTAGCAAAAACTGAGTTATTTTTTGAAAAGGTAGAGAAAGTGGGGTCACTTGAATTATAGGCTCAGAAAATCCCAGATCTATACAGATCCGGTCTTGGTGTGGGTCCACTAACAGCGCCAGCTCCAAAACCATATTTTGACAAAAAACGTTTCTAAATTTAATTAAATCTATGATGAATTAATTTCCAAAAAAATATATAATAAAACGGATAATTAAATGAAGAAAAACAAACTAAATTAAGCAAAGAAAGATATACTTACCTCTAGGGACCCGAAACTCGGAGTTTCGAGCTTGGATCAGGCCGCTCTTCTGATTTGCACCACCATCTCTTTTTTTGGATGCATTTGCTTACTATAATTGGTAGATCTAACGTTCTTTTACCTAGATCTAGCGTTCCCAAGGCAGGGGAAAAAACTGAGAATTTTAGGTAGGATCTACCTAGGCTTTTTTTTGGGATTGGAGGAGAATTTCCTTAGGTTTCTAAAGATTTTGGGATCTCCATATGTTGAATATGAATTCTAGGATTTTCTCTAATTTTTTCTGATTTTTGGGGATTTTTTCTAAATTTTCAAGAATTTTCTAAGGGTTTTTCCTATTTTTGGGTATTTTTGAGCTATTTTTCTAATTTCAAAAATTTCTAAGGGGTTTCTTTGTGGTTTGTGATCTCTTTCTTTTGAGTTATGAAGGGGGTATTCATAGAACTCTATTGGTGATTTTTTCTGATTTGTTTGGAGTGTTTTCAGATTTTTTGGGATTTATCTTAAAGTTTTAGCCTTATCTAATTAAAGAAAACACGTTTACTGCATCATAAAACGTATTAACTACATCATAAATGCCGCGTCTACATCATTAGGCCCCGTTTGGGCCTGTCGGACCCGTTATAGCCCGGCCTGCGGCCCGACAGTTGGGTCTCACAGGGATTAAATTGTCATTTATTATATCGTTTTATCTATAGGTCTGATTCAGGCGATTCTTGGACCATTGGAAAGCACTTGTGCTCTACTTCAAGTTGGGATATGATTTGGGTATTTTTAAGTTAATTAAATTGGGTCTAAGTTACCTATGGTCTACTAGGGTTTGTGTAGTCCTTTAGGACCAGAATCGAGGTTTTTAAGAGTTCCCTTAGCCAGAATTTAGAGGGGGTGTCTACAGTTGCCCCTCTTTGGCATTCTCCTGGGGCACCAGGTGAATG